TGAGGGCCCACAATTATGATGACTAAAAAAACACACACGGTTCAGTCAGCTTTCCGGATCCGGCCAGGATTAGCCGCCTTGGAGCCAATTCTGGTCTAACCCCAAATGGCTGGATCCATCATCGGTAGCGCCCCAGAGGCAGAAACGGGGAAAAGATGAGACCGTGCGGGAGACGGGAGGAAGGGGCCTCTGGGCTTTCCAACCCCGATGGCGCTCTTGCCCGCTGCTCTTGAAAGGACGCGGCTCTCTGGTCAAGCACAGGCCTTGCAAGGAGGGGGGGGGGGCGACCTGCAGCCGCCATCCATGGCCCGACCTGACCTTCTTTGAAAACACCCTTTCCGGTTGCGTTTGCACCTGCCTTGCAGGACACGTGACCACGTTCTGGAAGGTCTCTCGTGGCCACGAACCTCCCAACACACACGCATGCACGCACAGTGCAGGGGCTGCCTCCGCAAGGCCTTTGCTGAGCTTCCTCGAGAGCTAAGAATGGATGCGGTTACTCAGCTGCCCACCTGAGGCCCACAGAAACATGCTCCTAAGCTGCCAGGGTGGATGACGAACCGCTCTCTTGCGCAGGACGGCGGCAGGATCCGAGCTGCATCTTGAGAAGCAGCCGCCCCGTTTGGAAGCAATCAGCCGGGCCCCCGGATTTCATTGATCTGTGGGGCTCACCGGCGCCTCTCGCTTAATTAAGGAGACAGAGGAGGACACCTGCAGAGAGGAATGGGGGGGGAGGGCAGGCACGAAGGCATGAGTCACTCGTTCGCTCCCTCGCGCAACCTGCAGTTCTGTGATGAGTCATCCGTGCGTCTTCTACCCGTTTTTAACCTCCACCAAAATGGGGACGTGTCAGTCCACCACCGTCCCCAGATCTCCCCACCAACCGATTTCGCCACTTCCCATTCAGCACAGAAAGTCAGCCGTCCACCCCCACACCAGCCCCCACCCCCCCCCCCGTGGGATGCCCCTCCTGTGGGGCTCGGAGGCAGAAGCAGCAGGAATAGTCCAGAGCCCCCTTCTAAAGCAGGTGGGAGCGGGAGTGCAGGAGGGGACAAAGGCACCTTCTCCATCCTACACCCAAGCGAGGCCTCCTGTCTGGAATGGGTCGGGAGAGGAGTCCCAGATGCCTTCACAACATTTCCTTTTCAACCGATTTCCAACAGAACCCCTTCTCTGCCTCAGGCCACGACGGGAGGTTCCCAGTCAGCATCAAGAAACTGACCAGGTGAACGGCTGGTCGATCCACCGGGAGGGTGGCTTTTCCCGTGCCTGGCGAGGTGGCTTTCTCCTTTGCTGTTGGTTAATGATGGGCCCTTGATGACCAGGTCGCGCCAGGACACCACAGGGGCTCCCAGGGAAAGGCAGACGAGTTGGGGAAGGGTCCTGCCCTCCCGCCAGGAGGGGCAAGAGGCCCGAGCAGGGTCTTGGGCAGAGGTAGGCCAGGTCCCAGGTGCCAGCTGCAGAGAGCTCTGAGCCTGACTGTAAGGATGGGGGTGGACTTCCCTTTGGGGTTCCTCCAGCGCAACTGGTTCTCAACCCTGGCTCACCCGGACGTTCTCAGAAACCCTGGCCAGCACAGCTGGTGGTGAAGGATTCTGGGAAGTGCAGTCCAAGAACACTCGGGCTACTCAAGGTCAAGAACCACTTCTCTCGCATCCTCTTATCAGCGCTTGAAGCAAGAGTTGGACGGTGCCGACACTCTGGCTGCAAAGTGTAGCGGTGGGGTTTGTTATCTCAGTGGGCGAGATGGGAGGCAGAAGGAGTCCTTCAGGCGACGATGGCCTGCCCAGGGCTGGGAGCGCTGACTTTGTGCCTCCCTCCCTCCCACCCCACCCCCCGGGGGACAGAGGAAGTGGCTCAAACTGCCCAGACCACCAGAAGGTTTATCTTGCTGCCCCTGACGGGAAGCAGGCTGCTTTTCTCTGAACAGAGGCCAGAGCCCCTTCTCCCCATCAGGTGTCAGGACTCAGCCCCGTCTCTTCAGGGCTACCCTGGAGAAAGAAAGGCCTGTGCAGCCGAGCCTGAGGGGCTTGGCTGCTCCCCTCTGAGAAAGGGGGCCTGCCACCTCCTCCCCACCTCCATAGTGGCTGGCTCTGCCGGGCTCCTTTCTCTCTCTCTCACCAAACCCCCAGGCCAGCCCAAAAGGCTCTGCTGCCTGAGCCAAGGGCCAAGGGTGCGCCTGCCGCTTTGGCACAGAGGCGGGGCCAAGAGGAGGAAGAAGGGGCAGCTGCCAAGAAGGGGCTTTCTTGTTCCCACGCCTTTCGAGAAGGGTCTCCTCCTCTCCTCTCCCCGGCCCACCACCCCTCACGCGACCTCTCTGCACCCCTGGTATGGGTGAATCCACCCACCCACCCTTGGAGCCTGCAGAGCCTCCCTGCTTGCACCCTGCCCTCCCCCAGCGTGGCCTAACTGAGCTCCCTTGGGTGCAAGGAACATGGGCTGGGCCCCACGGCCCAAAGGGCGCTAGAAGTCCAGCTCATCCGGCTCAGTGAAGTCAGTCGCCTCTTACACGGATGGCGGGGGGGGGCAATCTGCCACAAGGCCCTGCCCGCTGAGCTGTTGACACCGATGGCAGGCCGGCACTCTCTCTCTCTCTCTCGGGTGCTGTAGCCAGCAGAGGGCTGGACAAGAGGGCCCTTGGGGTGCCCTCTAGCTCCCTGGCCAACGTGAAGTCCTGTGCCAGGCTGGGGTTGCCTCTTTTGGCCTAGGGGCTCCCTCCCCCCGCCCCCTTGGCCCTGCCTCTCTACTGAAGAGGGCAATCAAAGGGACGATGCCAGCTGCCTGTCCATCAGCCAGGACCCTTCAGGCAGAAATGCCATGGGTGGAACCAGCAGACTCCTTCTACAATATGCCAAGGACCTGCTCTGCAGGGAGATGGGGTCCTCCTGGCCTAGATGGACAGAATTGGAGCCCATCACCTTCCCAGAGAAACAGAGGTGCCCTGCCAGCCTGGCACAGCCTCCACTGGGGGCAGACCTATTCTCAAGTGATGGTTGACAGCCGGACACCTCTCCACCCCCAACTCAGTCGCCCGGCATGGTGCCCGGCCTGGCCCTGGCCCTGAGTGCTTCCTGCCCAAGGCCCCACCAGAGACACCAAGAGGGGCAGCTCCTTGGAGCCAAGCTGGGGGGCCCTTCCTGCCTCTAAACCTCAAAGCTGTTTCTGGTGACGGAGCTCAGCCGGGGGGAACAAGCGAAAGCTCACCAGAGACATCAGGAACGGATGAGTTTTCTTGAAAGCCCTTTCAGAAGGGCCGGGAAAAAGGAAGACCTACTTTGGCGGTGGCGTGACCGCACGCTCGTGGACTCCTCTCTCCTGGCCTTTGGGCGTGGGTGGGGATGATGGCCGCTGGCTGTCTGGAGCTGGCAGCACGTGTGGGGGGGGGGCTAGAATGCTGAGGAGGGGGCATTCCTGGAGGAAAAGTCAGTTGGTGGCAGTTGGAGGGGCCACTGGCCTACATCCGGGGGGGGGGAAGCAGTTGGGAGGAGAAGAGTGGGGAGGAAGCAGACCCCAACCAGCTGGAAGGCCCTGGTCTTACTGGGTCCAGCTGGTATCCCACGAGGGGCTCCTCACTCACCCTGCCGTCACCTAGTGGGTTCCTCTGAGGTTCCTTGTTCGCTCTTAATGGCCAACTCCTCGACTGGACCTACGGGCTATTTCAGGTCCCTCCAGTGGCCCCCCCCGTTGCCCAGCCCCACTCGTCGGGCAGAGGGCACCGTTTGCCGCACCCTTTTGCCCTCCGCCTGACTGAGGCTCCTCTAAGGGAACTGAAAGGATTGGCAACAAACCAGTTCCATGTCTGGGGGCAGATCTGGAACAGCACCGGGCATGAAATTCCCCACGGCCAGGTGACCTCGCTTACCTGAGGGGAGCCCCCTGGGGGAGATGAGGGGGACTGAACCTCACAGGGCCATTAGCAGAAGGGGCGGGAGCCCCCCTGAAGAGCAAGAAGGGAGAGCGCAAGAGGCTGGCCTGACCGCCGGCTCAGGCAGACTTTGGCAAAGGGCAGGCTCGGCCACTGCCGCCTCTTCTTGCTGGGGTTCCCCCCCCCAGGAGACGGAAGGAGCCCCCGCCTGCCTGCCTGCCTGCTTCGCTCTCCCCACTACAGACAGCGTGGGGGTCCTGGGGAAGATGGACCACAGGGGCAGCCACGGTGCTGTCACAGGGCCTGCCGGAAGGGAAGAGATCCGAAGCCCGCCTAGACAGGGGCATCTGCCCTGCAGGAGGCTTGGCACCCCCTGCCCCCCCATGATCTCCTGGGCCCCTGCCGTGGGACCTTGGGCCCCCACTCCCTTGTGCCAGAATGGCTTCTGTGCTGCCCACGTGGCTGAGCCTCACCAGAGAGGAGGGCCAGGAGACACACACACACACCCCGATGAGCAACCAGACCCCGGAGCTCGTGGCTTCGTGCCTCCTTCGTGCACGGCGGGACGTCCATTCCAAGGGCGAACAAATTATCTGAGCCCCTGCCCGCCCCCCGCCCCCCCAGCCAAGCCCAGCCCTGGTTTCAGGCTACTGGGGGATTGTACCCCTCCCCAGGCAGACCTTCCCTGGGGCCCAAGAGATTTCTCCCTTGGGGGATGCTCCACCTCGGGGGGGGTGGGGGTGCTAGGATTGTACCCCTGCAAGGCACACACCCCCATACACACACCCCACCGGGGCCTCAGATGAACCTCTGGCTGTGGGCTACCGTCCACCAGAGAATGCCTGAAGCTTCCCCAAAACTGTTGATGATGATGGCTGAAGGCAAGCTTAGAAGTCAGATGCAGTCCTGGAGATTTCCCTGCAAAGCAGGACCTCACCTGACTTGCCTAATAAATAAGTAAATAAATATATAAATATCAGAAGCAGCCAGAGAGCCCATCAGAGCCCACAGGCGGGGGGGGGCGGCATTCTGAAACGCACCCAGAGAGAGAGAGAGAGAGAATTACACACAATTACCTTTCCCTATAGTCTCTGTTTATGTCTAGCTGGAAAGGGCTGGCCTGGACGGTCCCCCCTCCCTTCCCCCCCCCTCTGCAATTCCTAGCGGGTGAAATGAGGGGTCTAGCTCCCTGGAAGGACAGATCCTGAAACTGAGGCTCCAGTCCTTTGGCCATCTCATGAGAAGAGGAGACTCCCTGGAAAAGACCCTGATGTTGGGAAAGTGTGAAGGCAAGAGGAGAAGGGGACGACAGAGGATGAGATGGATGGACAGGGTCATCGAAGCAACCAACATGACTTTGACCCGACTCCGGGAGGCAGTGGAAGACAGGAGGGCCTGGCGTGCTCTGGTCCATAAAGGGGTCACGAAGAGTCGGGCACGACTTAGCGACAACACAGCCTTCGCCACCACCACCTTGCCGCTGCCCCGAGCAGAAGGGCCCCTCTTCCCCCCCCCTCCCCACCAGGCCCTGCCTGCTTCGCACGACACCTGGAGTCCCCGTGTAACCGGAGGGCCAGAGGGGGCAGGTGGGCGGCGGGCGGGGCGGAGAGGGAGGGCGCCGGGCGGCTGCGGCCACACACCGTCCGAGCCACGCGGGGCCATCGCTTCCCTGCCCTCACCAAGCGACACGGTTCACCTGGCAGGTACGATTACCCGGAACACCTGGCCGCCAGCATGCCGCCAGCGCCGCGGGCTCGTTGCCACTCTCTCCCCTTTGGCAGCCACGGGGCGGAGAGGCCACGCGAGGGGCTCGGTGGGCGCCCACGGAGGGGCCGGAATCAAGAAGAGGGCAGGACAGAGGGAAGGGGCCGGGCGCCATCATCCCCTGCAGGAGCACAGAGAGAGAGAGAGAGAGAGAAGTGAAAAGGAAACTAAAGGCTTGCAGAAGAAACCCCGCCTCCGGAGGGGACCCCCCCACCCACCCACCTGCCCATTCAGCCAGGCCGGCAAAGGCCGAGAAGGGCTACAGCCCAGCAGGAACTCGGCTCAGCCTCCAGGTGGGTGGTGGCATCTCCTCCTCCTTGAGGGAAGGAAGGAAAGGGGGCAGCAGGACCAGAAGCAGAAACGGGCATCGCCACCCCCACGGGGCTCTCCCGGGCCCTCCTTTGTCTTGCATTCTCAGTGTGTGTCTCCCCCCCCCATCTCGCCCTCCCCTTTCTGCCCTGGCAACCTTGCCCGTCTCCAAAAGTAGGGCGGCTGCAGGCGCCTCGGGGCAGGGACCTGCTCCAAAGGCACAGAGGTGTGAGACTCAGGAAAAAACACACACACACACAGGCAGCCCCCAGCGGCCCTGCTCTCCTCTGGGGGGAATGAGCAGCCCCAGGGAGCCCCGCGTTCAGGTCCTTTCCCCCTTCCCGGCCCTGCTGGGGTCCTGATCCAGACTGAGCCCCGGGGGCCTGCAAGGGCCGCCCGGTCGGCTAGAGGCCACGCCTGGGATTCCTGGTGAGCACTGAACTCCCAAGGAGGGTGGGATGAAGGAAGGCAACGGGGAGACAAAAGAAATCCAGAGCCCATCACGATTATACTGTTACATCCGACGCGGGGTGCCGAGTTACCGAGGAACAGCACGCCTGCGCCTCTATCTCAGGAGAACATCGCCCCGTGGGGGTGGGGGTGGGGGTGGGGTGGGGTAACAGGAGAAGCTGAGCAATTAGATGCTGCCCGGCTGACCTTCCGCGTCCATGGACTGCACCTTTACAGGGCAGAAGCCGGGCCAGTGGGTTGCGCCCAGAAGAGGTCCTTAAAACTCTGGGTGCCTGCAGGGGAGCCTTCCACCCCTCCCCACATGGCTCAACTTAAATGCATTTTTTTTCTTTGAATGTCTCTGAACATAGGTGACGTGCACAAACTATTTCAATGCAGCCCTAGAAGCCCTGCCTGCAATCACAAGGATGCGCTTGCACAAACGGATCAGCACCTTTTGTGAGGCTACATCACTCCACGTGGCCATTCAGAGCCACCCAGCCCTGGACCACCTCACCCAGGTGCCAGCAGGCAGCCAGCCGGGCCTGCTCTTCTCCCCA